ATTTGGATACCTCTTATTTCCTTCTCTTGTCTTATTGCTATCGCTAAGACTTCCAATACAATATTGAATAAGAGAGGTGAGAGTGGGCATCCTTGCCTAGTTCCTGTTCTTAAAGGGAATGCCTTTAATCTCTCCCCACTGAGAACAATGTTAGCTCTCAGGTTTGCATATATAACTTTTGCTGTGTTGAAGAAATTCCCCTCTAACCCTATTTTTTTGATGTTTTAATCAAGAAAGGGTGTTGAATTTTGTCAAAGGCCTTTTCTGCAGCAACTGATAGAATCATGTGGTTCTTGCTTTTTGCTTTGTTTATATGAAGAATTACACTATTTGTTTTTCTTATGTTGAACTATCCTTGCATACCTATTATGAATCCTACTTGGTCATCGTGAATTCTTTTTTTAATGTGTTGTTGGATTCTGTTGGCCAGCATTTTATTCAGGATTTTTGCATCTATGTTCATGAGAGATATTGGCCTATAGTTTTCTATTTTGGTGGTGTCTTTTCCTGGTTTTAGTATCAAGGATATGTCTGCTTCATAGAATGAGTCTGGGAGAATTGCATCTTTTTCTATTTTCTGAAATAGTTCATGTAGAATTGGCGACAGTTCTTTTCTGAATGTTTGATAAAATTCACTTGTAAAACCATCTGGTCCAGGGCTTTTTTTGGCTGGACGGTGTCATCACTTCTATTCAATATCGCACTGGAAGTGCTTGCCAGCACAATACAACCAGTTAAGGAAATAAAAGGCATCCAGATCGAAAAGAGATGGTTAAAGTGTCACTATATGCAGATGACAATTGTTGTTGTTGTTATGTGTTGTCGAGTCACCCACGACTCATACTGACCCTAACAGCCCTAAACCCTGTTCTATCTTGTGCCAATCTTATTGTCTCTGACACACCTACGTCTATTACCCTAGTCTCTGAATCGATTCATCTCATCAAGGGTCTTCCTCTCCTGTGCTGTCCCTCCACCCTCTCAAGCATGACATCCCTCTCCAAGGACTGGTCCTTCCTTGCATCGTGTCCAAAGTATGTGAGATGAAGCTTCAGAATCCTTGCCTCCAAGGAACAGCCT